CATGAATTCCATAGGCCTTCCCTTTGTACAGACCAGGAGTGAGGACACAGGTGCTCAGTGTGGCAAGGGTGGGAGCAGGTGGGTCTGGTGAGCGCTGTAACAGGATCGGGGACAGCAGTGAGCCAGTAAAGGAACTGTCAGGAGGCAACAATGAAGGCGTGGTGGGGTGCAGCTGGGCTAAGCCTCCTGAAGAGGAAGTGGTACAGGTGTGTGTTCAGCAGGATGGGCCCTAGGGGCAGGAGGCCACATCTCAAGAGTGGCAGAGAACAGGGAATAGTCCCAAGAGATCCAGCTGCAGGGGACTGACACCACCAAAGTCCTTTCTGGAAGGCATGGTCTGAGGCCTGGCCCTAGGTGGAGAAAGCTCCTGTTAGATCTGCCCCGAAGTGTCAAGGAAAGAGCACTAGGGACCCAGAGCCCACAGACACCCACACCTCAGGGGTGGCCTCAGGGGTCAAATGCTCCTCTCCTGACAGAGCAGCTCCTCCCCTTCCTCCCTTTGGCTGCCTGTTTTTTGGCCTATGTGGCTGGCTGGTCTAAATTACATTTATGTCAAATAGTTTAAAATGGTTAGAGAGCTCAATATGTGTGGGAGTGGGAGGTGCTGAGAGGGGCCCAGGCAGCTGGGAGGAAATGCCCATCAGGTACGGCCGGGACAATCAGCTCCTGGGCATGGTGCAGCAGGAGGGAGATGACCATTCCCAGGGAGGCCACCCTACCCCACCTCTTCTGTTTCAAACTAGGATTGATGCCCTCTGACTCCTAGACTCCCCACCCCCAGCTCCAAGTATCCCCAGTCTTCCTGGAGCAACCACTGCCCATCCTGTCTCCAGATCTGGGAGCCCTGTGGGCCTTTGGCCCACACATCTGGGTCTGTCATTTTATTGTGGGACCAAAGCTGACTCAGGGACTCCCTTCCCTCAGGCCACCCCTGAGGTGTGGGTGTCTGTGGGCTCTGGGTCCCTACTGCCCTTTCCTTAACACTTTGGGGCAGATCTAACAGGAGCTTTCTCCACCTTGGGCCAGGCCTCAGTCTACAAATATTCCCAAGAACCTCACAGTGGTCAGTGACCTTCTCAAAATTTAAATTCCAGAATCATACACATTTACTCAGGTCTACCACATATACCAGGGGCTCTGGGACACAGATCTAGGCAAAACGGAGGAAACCCCTCCCTGGAGATCAAGATGGAGGGGTGCTCTAGAGATGCTGTCAGGGCTCTGTGAAAGGTGACTTTGGTGCAGAGGCCTGAAGGAGCTGACAGTCGGGTGGGCCAGGCAGCTGCTGGGTGAAGAGGACTCTGAGCAAGACTATATTCATCGGAATTATAAAATGTTAGGGCAGGAAGGGCCTGAAGATGGTGAAGGCAAGGCTGAAAAAGGCGAAGGGTTTGGGCGGTGCCTGTGGCTCAAAGGAGTAGGGCGCTGGCCCCATATGCCGGAGGTGGTGGGTTCAAACCCAGCCCCAGCCAAAAAACTGCAAAAAAAAAAAAAAAAAAGAGATGAAGGGCTTGTCCACAGTTAGTTGGTCACTTGAGTAGGGGGGGAGTATGGAGCAGTTGGAGTGCTACAGGAAGAGGCCTGGTGGATCTGGCGGGCAGGACCCAAGCTGTGTTCCAGCTCAGGCTACAGCAGGGAGGCAGCAGATAGACGGGTTTCAGGCCAGCACACAGTGACTGTGCAGTTTCTGGGCCTAGGGCCCTGAGCCACAGGGCCTCAGGCATCAGAGGGAAAGGGCCACCGACCTGCATGGAGTGGGAGCCCAAGGTTGCCCAAGAGGCATAGCTCTGGAACTGGATCCAAGCATGTGCGGGGCTAGAGTTTTCTGGCAACTTCTCAGCAATACCACATTACCCTGCTCTTGTATAAACCTGGAGCACCAACTTTTCTTACCCTTTTTAGTCTCTCCCTCTTCCAGGGATTCCCTTGGGAAATCCAGGGTCCTTTTCCAGACTGGTATGTACATGTCTTTGGAAATTATAGTGCTGAGCTGGCTTCAGAACAAGACAGGGAGGAAGGTCACTGGGGAGACCAGTGACTTTGGCTGGACATGGCTGTGAAGAAGGGCTTAGAGACAGGGCTCTGTCTCTGGAACCCAGACATTATCACAATGGTCCCTTCTTGTTCTTTCCCCTCCAACCCAGAGCCCCTAAGCAGGCTGCCAAGAAGGAGCAAGCTGTGGCCACCCACCCAGGCATTTCAGGCCCATTATCACCCAACCCCACCCTGGGATCCAAGGCCCTGAGTTTGCTGTTTTCTGGAACATCTTGTTTTGATCTAGAGAAATTTGCTGACATACCAGCTGCCCTGCTTTCATCCTTAGTCAGGGTGGAGGTATTTTTAGCCTTATGTGCAAAGGAAGAGGGTAGAACTAGGCCCAGAGTATGTCCACTGCACTGTGGCCACAGCGTGGGCCCCTAAGGGAGGATGGAGATACCCCTGTGTGGTTTTCTGCCCTCAACTTACCTCCCCTTAAATACATTCCTTTCTCTAGGAAAACAAGCTGTGTGGAATTGAGAGGCCAGCAGAGCTTATACATAATGAGCCTCTGAAACTGTGCCCTTTTGTCCTTCAAAAGCAAGGGTGGCTGGGGCAGCTCCAGACACAAAGGAACCTTATTTCCCTTTGTGATGGAGAAACTATGCTTTATAGAATCCTATGCCTTTTGGGCCGCTAGTTTTTACTCTTTTGAAAAATCAAATCTCATAGTTTGTTTCTGAGATTTGGGGATGATAAGTGACAATGAGGGAGATTTTGGGACCAAAGGTGAAGAAAAGCAAAATGAGATGTCAACTGGGCCCTGGGAACAGCCTTACAGTAGTGACTACCTACTCCTCGGACACCTTGTCAGATAAGTAAAATACTGGCTCCACAGCACCCAACTGTGAAGCAGCAGGGAAGAATCACTCCATTGGTTTCATACACCCCTCTCAGTTTTCCAGAACATTCTGAGAGGCAATTTCCTCTTTCTACACCTTTCTCTCAGGTCAGAGTTGTCACAGCCCAACTCACCCCTGGAAATGTAAGAACAAAACTGAGGAGGCAGGCTCGGCGCCTATGGCTCAACCGGCTAGGGTGCCAGCCACGTACACCTAAGGTGGCGGGTTCGAATCCCCAGCCCGGACCGCCAAACAACGACGGCTGCAACCAAAAAAAAAAAAAAAATAGCTGGGCGTTGTGGCCGGCGCCTGTGGTCCCAGCTACTTGGGAGGCTGAGGCAGGAGACACGCTTGAGCCCAGGAGTTGGAGGTTGCTGTGAGCTGTAACGCCACGGCACTCAACCCAGGGGGACAGCTTGAGGCTCTGTCTCAAAAAAAAAAAAAAAACACCAAAAAAACTGACAAGGCAGATCTAGAGGGGTGAGCTGCAAGAATCCTCCTCGCTTAGCAGAGTTGGGCTAAGCAGCGTTGGGCTAAGCAGCGCCAGTAAACAAGCCTGGCCTTGCCACGTCATTGACCTTCCCTGTTGAAGGTCAGATGACACACGGTCACCAGTTTTCTGGGAAGCACAGGGAGGGGTGCAGTACTGAGCCCCACCCTTCCCGTTGATGCCATCTCACAGACACAGGGAAAAACAACTTCACCAGTTTCCTCCCAGTGGCCAAAGGAGCCTGTCGTCAGGGTGTTTTTGTTTGGGGTGTGGTTGTTCCCATGACTTCCTGGCAGGAGTCTGACCAGATGCCCTTCTCAGTTCTGGTTACTTGGACCACGGGCGTCCCTTTCCCACCTTACAGCTAAGGCGGAGAAGGTTGAATGAACGTCAGGAGGATCCCAGAGATTGCCAGCGGGATGTCAGGAGAAGCCAACTGTTTTTTTTTTTTTTTCAAAATCTTCACAGACAGGCCCTGCCCGGCACAGACCACAAGTGATCCCTAGATTTGCTTACAAAGCTCAAGCAGGGCCTGCTCAGGTGGGTAGAAGCGCTTCAGACCCTGCCCCGAAGCAGTCACAGGCTCTAAGGCTCTAAACTGCCCGATCAAGTGAAGGTTTAAAAAAAAAAGTCACTTTTTTCTCCCCATTCCCCCATCCAAAAGTAAAATCAGTTGAAAACCTATATACCCTTTTGGCCATGTTACAGGTATTACTTGTTTTCGGCACAAAATCTTGCTTTTATGTTATTTTGCAATAATTAAGTGGCCTTATTCCATTTAGTTCATCACGAACGCATTTCGCTGAGTATTCTACCCCCAGCGGGGACGTCTGTTCTTAGGAATATTCCACTCTCCAGGCCCCTGGCAACGGAATAACAAACCATAAAACACGCCCCGCACAGACAGCTCGATCGGAGCTTAACAATGTCACCAACTCGCCCCGAACTTTTTAAAGGACACAACAGGGCTTCCCAGAGGAACTGTGACCAGGGTCCAGAGTGAAGGACATCACATTCCCCTCAGAGGGTCGCACTCGGGGCTTGGGCCCCCGGGCCTGCGGGTCCGCCCCAGCCTGACGTCACCCGCGGAGCACGAGGCAGGGCCCCCGCCCCGGAGTCACGCGCTCGCCTGCGCCTCCCCCCCCTCCCCCGCCGACACACACACTTTGCCGCCCCAGAGAGTGATGCGCCCGCTGCTGAGATCCCTCCGCCGCCGCCTGGAATTTTCCAGTCGCGCTGGTCGGTTCTTTTTTTCTGGTCTCGGTGGGGGAGGGGGGGTGACCTGAGGCGACCCAGTAGCGGCAGTGCTCTTCGCCCACTCGGGAGAACGACCCACACCCCCTGCCTCTCTCAGCCCCTCATTTAGAGAACTGCGATTACATCCCTGTCCCATCACCAGTACTAGAAGAAGAGAGGACTTTTCGATATCATCCACTTTCCAAGTATGACCTTGAAATCTGTCCTCCATTCCGGGAAGTGCGGATAAACTGGGAAATTTGAGGGGGTGGCCCTGTCTCCTTCTCAGGCAGGGTGGGGGTGGGACTTTTTTCCGGTGGCAGTGGAGGAATCGTTCCGTTGAGAAGTGCACTGAGTGAGGCGGCCCAGGCCTATATAAGCAAAAGTTGTGGCTTGTCCAGCAGGAGTTAGCGACAGGGAGGGCTACTTACCTGGGCGTAGCTGAGGCGGGAGGAAGTGGACAGTTTAGGGTCTCAGAGGATATATGCGGGAGATGACTGAGTTAGATGGGATGGGGGCAGTGGGGGTGCAAGGAAAGTTGAAAAGGAGACCAGGTCTTGGGAGGACTACAGTGAGGCAGGGTGCTTGGAAATTGCCCGTAGTAACCCAGGGGGAGAACAGCAGTTCTCTAGGCTGGCCCTGCTGGTGCTGGAGCAGGGGAGCTTCACCTGTGGAAGGTCGTTGCTCTTCCATGGATGAGGGAGCCTCAGGGCCCTGGTTTGTGTGAGAGGAGGACGGCAGGAAGGAGGAGTGGGCGCTTGATGCCCTGGGAATAATCAGGAAGGAAGGCTGGATTGCAGGTGGCCTGGGAGGGCCCACCTCGAATTTGTCATACTAGCGACCCCCTTTTTTTCCAGACAGAGGGTTGTGAACCAGCCTGGGGTGAGGCTCTGGTCTTGTGGAAACTGAACTTAGCTATGCTGGGCTGACACCTTGGGCCCAGGCTGGTATGTAATTTTGGCTCGGCCTGGTGGAGCCCTGGGTCGGAGGTGAGGGGTGGTCTAAGGAGTGATTCTGGAGGTAAGGTGCCATCCTCCCCTGTTACTGGTGTGGCACCTAATGTGACAGGCGGGGCTGCTGAAGCAGAATGTTTGTGTGTCTTGAGGCAACATTGACCAACACTTTATTTTCCAGGTGGCAGTGCTCCCCTTTGGACTTTTCTCTAGGTTTGGTGCTAAACTCTTCCGTGAGCTCACTCTACCCCTCTCCTCCCTTTAATTCTCTCGAGGGTATCAGTTCACTTAAAGCGTTTCTCCTGGTAATCTGGTAAGCCTGGGGATGTGGCCTCAGCCAAGTGGCTGTAGCAGACGGTACTGTTGGTAATGGCCGAGTTGAACAGGCTCTTCCCCTGACACTTGGGGTGGTATGGGTTGGTATTGCTTGCCTTGTAGAGGGTGGGGATTGAATGTGCACCTTTGGGTGGGCCCACAGGATGGTTCCAGCAGAAAGTTGAAAAGATGCCTCATGGACCATGGTTTGTTACTGTAGTGTTCATCATGGCGAGCAGATGGCACCAGGAGAAATGGAGCCCCTGGCCAGTGTGAGTCTAGCAGTGCAGTCTAGCAGTCCTGGAGGAGAGGAGAGAGCCCGCCTAACTGCGGATTGCATTTCCAGAGGCTTAGGAGAAGGAAGTTCTCCAATATCCTGTTTTCAGGCCTTGCTCCAGCCCCATATTCAGGAGGCCACCATTTAAGGTTTTCAGATGAGCTTGTGAGGGGGCGGTCTTAAAAAGTCCAAAGCAGCTGCATCCGGCTTGTGGGGCCATCAGCTTTGATTGAATGTTTGTTCCTGGAACACATGAATGCCAACAGGCACCTCCCGCCCTTTCCTGGGGTAAAGATTTTCAGATGCTGCATCTTGAGCCTCCAGCCATACTATTTATGTGCTACATGCTATGAACAATGTTTGCTTCAAGAAGATTCTTAAGCTGTAGAACATTTTAATGTTGATGCCACCGCAGAATGATGCCCTATAGATGGAGTTTGTGATGGAGCCCAGTGACCTCTCAACCTACCACCTACTTGCTTACCTACCTGTCTTGGTCGGAGGAATTCTTAGTGCAATAATATAACGTGGGGGGTGTTGGGGAAGATGTTTGATTTTAAATGCCTTAAACGGGGGATGTATTAGATGAAGCAGGATTTGAAATGAAGGGGGTCAATACATCTAGGGGGAATACAAATTGGTAATGTCCAAATTCTGTGTTAGGGCTGGCAGGTCTAGACTGGGCAATGCGGTTTCATTACACATTACTAACAGAAGGAAATGGTGGGTGTAACAGTAGTGATCTTTGGTTCCTGGTTCATTATACAATTTTATTGTTATCAATGTCGTCTCACCATGTTGCCCAGGCTGGCTTCCTGGGCTAAAGTGATCCTCCTGCCCCAGCCTGAGTAGCTGTGTCATAGCATCCCACTCAACTCCATTTTTCTAAACTTGAATTTTACTTGATTAGATTTCAAAGTATTCTGGGGCATTCCAACAGAAGGACCCTGTGATAGGAGTTACAGGAGTGGAGGGCACAGTTTGGCACTGGTGTTGGGAGGGATGGGGGTGAAGAAGGGGAGGGATGGTTAAGTATATGAGGGCTGTCTAGAAAGTATCCAGCTAGCAGAGGGTTTAGTACATCACAGAGGGTTGGGGTGGTAGAGTTGTGGGTTGTCAGGAATTCTCTGGCGTTCTGGGGAATCTAATAGAGCTCCTGGGTTAACAAAATACTGTAATAGTAAATTGTTAGTGTTAAATTACTGTTTGAAAACTTTTTTAAGTACTTAGAACTTTTAAATGTAAGGAAAAGCAAAATTGTTTTGCTTTGCTGTAAGGTGGGAAAGACTACAAAAAAGTATAACTGAAAACTTGAATCATTAGTCACTTGAAAGATAGTGTCAAACTTGGATCAGCAGATTAACCTTTACTGCATTTTACAAACTTCCTATGTGTGAGATTTTCAAGAATATTAAGTCTTGGAAGAGATTTCTAAATGCCTAAATTGTAGGCTTTTAAAGTATTTAAGTGAGCACCTAAAATGAGGTTAGATGGACTCTTCTATAATTCCTATTTCATCACAGATACTTTGAGGTAGACGTTTCAAGCAAAGTGAAAATACAGTTATTTTGAAGGAATTTTGTAAGTTGTGTCTTTTAAACACATACATTGTCTTTTCTGTGGTCAGTATTAACAATGGTAAAAGCTTTGCCTGCTTGCTATTGTCTTCAAATTGTCATTTTAACAAGGAGGACCAAATAATCTGGTGATCACTGTAAAAATTACTGTAATACTGGGTAGCAAACCAAATCCCTGTACATTTGCTAAAGTTAGAATGAATTTTAAATAATCCAGGACTAGAGGGAAAGTATCAACCAAAATCAGTTTGGAAAATAAGAGCCAAATGGGAGTTGGGGTGGAGAGGGCCTTTACTGGATGTGGTCTGTGAAAATTCAAAGCCCAAAAAATCTTGCTTCTGAGCTGCATAGTCAGTTGCTTTTTATTGTGTCTCTCTTCTCTTAATTTCACTTAAAATTTTTTAAATTCCCAGTACTTGTATCATTAGAGTTTTTCTGTCCTCCTTTTAAAAAATGTTTAAAAATATGTTGACGTGGTAGTTCAATTTTTAACCAGTGACTTGTGCCTGATGAAATTACTGTTGTTGGAATTTAAAGTATACTTAGTCATGCATGTATGGGGAAATACTCTCTGGTATGCTGTTGTGAAATTGAAACTGTAAAAGCAGGTAGTTAAAAAGTACTTCCATGTTTCTCTGTATGGTAAGAACTAATTCTGTTGCATCATGTACCTAATTACTAATCATTTTTCTTCCCCTTACAGCACAAATAAAGGTTTGAGTTCTGGACTTAATTAGAATTGTTTATTGCTAAGTTAAATTTCTCTGCCCCTATCAAGTTGCTTTCATGAAGAAGTTGGATATATCTTCTTCATACTGTAGATTTAGGCGTACATTGGCTAGCTTCTAGTAATTGAGGCCATTCAGGAAAGCTCTGTAATCTCAAATAGAGGTGGTACATTCTCAAGACCTGCAGACTGGTGGGCGGAGAGGGGGCACTGCTCACTGTTGGGAGTTGGTAGTGATGAGGGAAATGTAACCATTCAGCCAAGGAATGTGAGTGTCTAGGTGGGGGATTAGTATCTTAAAACATGACTTGGTTAGATTTCCAAGTGGTGCCTATTTTCATTTGTTTAGGAGAAACAGTCTAAAGAATAGAATTAATGTGTAATATGTGTGTATTTCCGTAATTACAGTCTTTGGGAAGCTGGAATGTATCTGAGACTTGGTCCGAGCACATAAAGAATTTTACTTCAATTTTTTTCTCTTGGTAAATGACTGAAAATGGGTTTCTTTGTGGTATATTAAGCAAACAAATTGTGCAAAGGGCACACGTAATCTGGAGTCTGCATCATGGCTTGTAAATGGATTCTGTGTCTTGGCCGGGGGATGTGGCAGCAGCGTTTCGACCTGGGAACTGTTCTGTACTTGCACTTACACTGCTGTGTTATCTCTTTTGATCTGTAAGGTTTTGCCTGACAAGGGATGGATTTGGGGCTCAGAGGAGAAACCATTTCCAGCCCACGTAGGGCTGGTTGTTATCCCAGCTCTTAAGTGTGTCTTGTTTGCACTAGGAAGAGATCATGGTGCTGGCCAGCAAGCCTTCTGTCTGGGGCTCATAACACTGGCAAGAGTGGGCACTGCTGTGTGTGGGTTCCAGGATCCACTCCCTGCTCACCACCCTTCTCCAAGCCTCCTTCCCTTGTCTTCCCCCTTTGCCTTTTGCCACAGAACCTCTCCACCTTACCTGGTTCCTCTTTTTTTTTTTTTTTTTTTTTTTTGAGACAGAGTGTCATCATGTTGCCCTCAGTAGAGTGCTGTGATGTCACAGCTCACAACAACCTCAAACTCTTGGGCTTAACTGATTCTTTTGGCCTCCCAAGTAGCTGGGACTACAGGTGCCATCCGCAACGCCCAACTATTTTTTTGTTGCAGTTGTCATTATATTTTAGCTGGCGCAGACCAGCTTCAAACCCGCCAGCCTTTGTAAATGTGGCAAGTGCCGTAAGCACTGTGCTAGGGGTGCCGAGCGCTGCCTCTTGTTTATGTGATGGTTACAGAATTGCTTCCATCCTTGAGGATAGTATCTCTATCTAGTATCTCTATGTAAATGGTACCATTTCCTGGCAATAATGGCATGCTGAAGAACTGACCCACAGGAGTACAAATGGGTTTTGGAAGCTGATATGCAATGAGTCTTGTTGGTAAAGAACAGGGGTGAGGCAGGTAAGTGAAGACTTGCTCACCACCCTCCTTGTCTCCACCCCAATCCTATACCCTCAGTTACTCTCAGGTCAGCTGGGATGGGCAGGCAGTGTTGATGGCAATGCCAGCAATTATTGTTAATCAGTTTGCATCTTTGTGCATGGGTCTGAAATCAGCATTCTCTGTGAATTCCAGAGGAGTGGATAGGTTTTGGTGAGTGGGCTTGTGCTGATCTTGTGCAAAGTAAAAGTCATGGGGCATAGGAATAGCAGAAGTTGAATTTGAAGTTCTTTTAAAAAGGAAAATGGCTTGAGAGCAAGTATGGGTTGAGGCTTCCCCATATGCCCAGGTTGAAAACATTGGGAAATATAGAAATGGCCTGTGATGGAAAAACAGATTGATTTATGCCTGTAATGAAAAAAAGAAGGGAACAAAAAGATTGACAATAGTAGCCCCCATCTCAGATGGACAGCTGCCCTTGGTTTGTCCTGTTGGCCATGGCTATGAGAGGATTCCAAGGACCCTTAATGCCAGGGCTCACTTCTCTGGTGAGATGGCTGTCCCGTGTAGTACTTGCTGTGTGTGGTGCTGGTGTGAAATGACGTGCCAAAATAGGCCTCCATGCATTTGTGGTTATCTTCTCAATGTTCATCATAATGCACAAAAATATACTGGTATAGTCTGGAAAGGGCAAGAAGACAGGAAAACAAGAACGAAAAATAAGAAAAATGGGAAAGTATGTGTTCCAAGGCATGTAGCCTTGGTTGTCCACCTGTGGCCTCCTGGTGAGGAGGACGTGCCACCATCATCTGGCGCCCTCAGCCTTCACACCTTCCCTCTCTTTTAAATAATTCTTCATCGAGTTCTTATGTGTAAAAGGGTATTATAAATTTTGAAAATAAGGAAATTAAAAAATTATCAGTAATCTTTCATTAACAATTGTTATGGGTTTATTTGGTTCTGGAGGGTTATTTTTCCAATGTACAGGATATATGTATCTATATATCAAAAAATGGGATTACACAGTAAATTTTGGTTGATTAATACATAGTGTACACCTTGTTGTTTGAAACTTTCTTTAGTGATGATATGAAGTTTCATTACATGGTTGTGTCAATTTAAACAATCTCATTTTAATGTACATAGAGGTTTTCTGTTTTTTTTTTTCTCTTAGGAAGTAATACTGTGGTGACCTTGTAGCTCATACTTTATCCCAACTGTTAAGTCTTTGGAAATACACGAATACATTTCTAGAAGGAAATGATTGTGCCAAACTTCTTAAGACTTTAGGCTCATATTGCAAAATTGTTCTCCTCAGAGGGATTTTCTGTATCAGTGTTCTCATATTGAAGTAAACCCGACTCTCCCCTTCTCCCTACAACAGGGAATATCCATGTTAAAAACCTTTGCTCCGTGAATGGATCCAGCCTATTTTACCTGTTGCTATGCCTACTGGCGAGAGGGAACATCTCTCTTGTGTGTTGATTGGCTATTTGTTGTGTATGTGTTTGTGCACACGCGTGTGCACCTGTGCACGACTTTCCGCTGTGTAATTACTGATTTTTCTGTTGGTTGTTTTGTAAAAGGTATTTACATATTAAGGATATTAATAATACTTTGTTATGTTTGATGCAAATATTTTTCTAGTTTATAGAGTGCCTTTTAATTTTGTTAAATTGTTTCAGACCTACAAGTTTATCTAGTTTCTCTGAGGTTGGTTTTATCACTACTCCACGTTATGCTTAGACTTTTCCCACCCCAGAAGTATGTGAATATTACTCTGTATTTTCTTGTGTACTTGTATGGTTTCACTTTTTACATTTAAACCTGTACATCATCTAGAGTATACGTTGTGGAATCTGTGCAGGGAGGAGCCTGGTTCTTCCAAGAGCAACCCCCAGCTTGCTCCCACCCCCTGCCCACCTCTCTGTGGACAGAAGGCACAATGGAATGGCAGAAAGCCCTGTGGGTGTAAGGGTTGTTGCCACCATAGGACAATTCACTGGAGAAGACCTTGGGGCTGGCCGGTGGTGTTTCCCAAATGGGATCCTGGTTTGTTACTTCTCATAGGAGCCTCTGAATATGTGGGGTTTGTACCTACAGTAGCAGATCTGGGTTCTATCTAATTCTGACTTGCCACTCGGCAACTTTGTGACTGAGAGCAGGTTACTGAACCTTGTCATGTCTGTTTTCCTCAGTCTGTAAAATGGAGTGAATGAATGTGCGTGGCACACAGTACCTCCTCACTGAGCTCTTACAGTGAATTCTTTCTCTGTGCCCCTCCTTTGTTACCCAGCATCAGGTCTAGCCATTTCCTCCTGGTTCCTTTCTCCCCTTCTCCAGCCACCTGCGTGCCTTGCTCTGGGCCTTTTATGCAAGGGACCCATGTGTGTTATTCCCTCCTCTCTGTTTGTATGGTTAATTGCATTTCCATCAACATTTCCCTGAAATCAGCAGAGTCCAAAACCACATGTGAAGTGTCTTATTCTCAGGGTCCTTCCTTCTCCCTCAAGAATCCTCTGGATGGGCTTCCAGAATTCTGAATGTTCTGAAATTGTGTGTGCATATTTTTCTGTGGCAAGGTCACTTTCATCAGCTTGTTAAAGAAAAGATGGATGAATATATTATTTTATCCCATTTAGCTTGTAGGATATTTAGCTACTCTGTAAGATTAGTGTTTTGACTATTTTAAATTGTGCTGCTGTGAGCATCTCTATAAATTTGATGTACAGGCATCTTCCCGAGGGTGGCACAGCCTATCGGTGAGCACCCATGGTTTCATACCTCTCCTTGCAGACTCAGATGACTCCCCCAAAATCTTATACTTCCTCTCGCGGGTGTATCCATTTGCCTAAGTAGTTGCTAACATCAGGTTTATTCAATTTTTTTTAATTTATTGCTACTTTAAAAAGAATTGTGAAATACACATAAAATTTACTATCTTAACCATTTTAACTGTACGGTTCAGTAATGTTAACGTATATTCGCGTTGTGACTATTCCTGGGAGTAAGTATATTCACACTGTTGTACAACCAACCTCCAGAACTTTTTCATCTTGTGCAGCTAAAACACTGCACCAGTAAACAACATTAAAGTCTCCCTTCCTCCTCCCGGCAGCCCGTGGCAACTACTGTTCTTTCTACTTTCTGTGAGTTCACTCGTGTGAGCGAAATCAGGCAGTATTTGTCTTTTTGTGACAGGCTTATATCAGCACAGTATCCTCAAGGTTCATCTATGTTGTAGCATGTGTCAGAATCTCCTTCCTTTTTATAGGAGTTGAATAATATTCTGTGGTATGTGTGTATCATTTCATGTATCCATGTATCTGTCAGCAGACCCTTGGGTTGCTTCTTCCTGTTGGCTGTAGTGAATAATGCTGTGATGTACGAATACCATTATTATATTTACAATATGATGCTGTGATGTACATAATTTTGAGACCCTGCTTTCAGTTCTCTTGGGTATACAGGCAGAAGTGGTATTCATACAGTATTTCTATTTTTAATTTTTTGAGAAACCGCCATCCTGTTCTCCACAGCAACCGTACTGTTTTACACTCTAACTAACAGTGCACAGGATTCCAAG